GACAGTTAAATTATCTGTCAGATCACATTTCATCCTCAAACACGGTCAGATCGACTGAACTCTTACCCAATCCATGTGGAGTACAGCCTCTCCTGGGGGGCAGAGATCTGGACGGGAAAAGCAACCGCAGGTCACAAACAGTTTGTACAGATATCGAGCGGCTGCAGCGAATCACTGAACCTCCACTCACCTTGATCTTCACGTCTTTGGGGGCCAGCTTCTTCACTTCAGTTAGTAGTCGTTCCCCAAATCCTGAAAGAACAGAAAGTGTTAATGTCAGTGAGACGGAGAGGATAACAACCAGGTTAATTACATGGGAGGCAGGAGGAGGTTCAACTCCTCTGGAAGAAACTAAAGTCAGAGTTTGGTTGAAACTGATAAAGAATTAAATTCTGATGCGTGCAATGATATAATGTGTGTATTTATACGTTCCTCAACTGTTATTGGAGCACAGAGCAAAAGGGGCGGGGCTTAGAAGGAGTAAACTGTGTGTTGTCATTAACACCAACCTTTGATCAGCGTCGACCCCCCACACAATACTATGGTGGAGTACAGCGTGCGTCTGAGGTCCATGTCAGACTTCTGGATGGCGTAGGCCAGAACCTCGTGGATCCCCGAGCTCTCGTCTCCTATCAGGTCGGGTCTGAACAGCAGCTCTGGGGCTCGGAACCTGGCCGGGCCGATCTGAAAAGGAGGACGCGGTTCAGAGGGTTTCAACCTTTTAACATCTTTACGAAACCCTCGTCAGTATCTGCGGGACTCACGTTTAAAGTGCTTCCATCGGGGAGAACGTACTGAGCCTTCTCTGTTTCTAAAGTCTCGTCCTTTTGCGGGTTGAGGGACAGATAACAGGCTCTCTGCAAAAGGTGGAGACACGTTGGATTAGATAAAGTTCTTCATGTTTCAGATAAAAACACTCCCGCCTGCCGCCTGGCGCCGTTACCTCTTTGATGGTGCGGACGACCTCGAACTCTGCCGAGGTGTTGAAGTTGTAGCCTTCCTTGCGCAGCAGCAGACGGAGGTACCGCGACACGTCTCGTCCGGCGATGTCCACGCGCATGATGGAGTGCGGGATGGCGAAGCCCTCGTAGATGGGCACGACGTGGGTCACGCCGTCCCCCGAGTCCAACACGACCCCGGTGGTGCGACCTGTGGCGTACCTGCGGGAAACAGAGGTTACAGGTAAGTAAGGTTTCTGTTAAACAGGAAATGTACTCGTGGAGTCTTCTGTTAGGTGGACAACCCGCTCTTCCTCCTGAGCCACAGCACGTGAAGTTATCCAACAGATGAAATAAATACAGTAAACTCACAATATGTTATTCATGAATAACATAGAAATAAACAAATATTTTTCAGTCATAATTTGTAACATTTGAGGTTGAGTGTCTGGTTACATTCCTCGTAGATTTATCTGCAGTTTATAAAGTAAAAAGGTTTTTATTGTTGGTTTTCCCTCCACACAGACTTTGTAACGGTGCAGTTACTGAACAGCAGATGACTGTCACGCTGTGTGTAACAACAGTAACACACTGTCCACCGCACACAGCCTCACTTGACTATAAGTCAGCAGTAATGGTGACACTTTGGGTCTCAAACCAGTGAAAAGTTGCAGAAGTCGACATAAAACTGGAGAGCTGATGAAGAGGAGGCACAGAGACTGTGTACTCACAGGCTAAGGACCGCCTGCATGGAGATGAAGAGAGCGGGAACGTTGAAGGTCTCGAAGAAAATCTCCGCAGCCTTCTCCCTGTTCTTGCTGGGGTTGAGAGGCGCCTCGGTCAGCAGTACAGGATGCTGTGAAACACCAACAGGGTTACGGGTCAGATCTGCAGACCTTCATCGCGGTGCTGCAGGAGGGGAGGAGCACTCACCTCCTCGGAGAACGTCTGCAGTTGCTCCTTGGAGTAAACGTACTGCCAGATCCTCTCCATGTCGTTCCAGTCCTTCACTATCCCGTGCTCCATCGGGTACCGCACCGACAACAAGCCCCTGTGCTCCTGGTGGGGGGGAAGACCAGAGACACGTGGTGGTTATGTGACAACGGCAGCTCCTAAGACCGGAGCGGACCAGTGTTTACATCCAGATCTAAGATCCCTAACTGGAACAACTCAGGAGAGTTTGAAATGTGTTCAACATCTTCCTCTGAACTCCAGTGTGACTATCAGGGAACAAGGCTGAAGGGTTCTTATGTGTAAATATATTTCTGAATAAAGTAAACATTGTTCCCTCGAACACACAAACAAAACCTTTCTAACTGAATCCTTACTGTGTGTGTGTGTGTGTAGAAGAATAGTATTTGTTAATAATAATTTATTTTTATTTATGAAATTAGATAATTTTCATAATCAATATTATAATTCCAAACCTCTCAGTCTAACAATATTTTTAAATTAACATGTGGAAGTTTATATAAATGGTACTAATGTTGTGTATTATAGGTATATATAAAATAAGTGGGATCAAACATAGCGGGTATTATGTCTTATATGAGCAGTTATGGCAAACTATCACCCTTCTAGTTAATTGGGCGTAAAGAGAATCTTATACAAGTCGACTCTATTATCTTGATTAATTATATCTGTTATTATTGATCATACATCCATTACTTTATACTTTATTTTATAAATCGTGTTTTATTATACATAAAACACATAATACATTACAGTTGTGGACATTTAGTTAATATGAATATAAATTAATGGATAAAATGTTTTAGTTTTTTGATTGATATATTTTTATTGATTTATATTATTAGTTATTAAAGTTTATTAATATCTATTTTATAAATTAAATTTATATTTATTTATTTTAGGTGTTATATAAATTCCTATCAGCAAGTGCTTAAGAGTCAACACTGGAATACCAACCAATATTTTTCTAGGATTGCAGTAACACCATTATTATATTTATACCTAACAAATGAGTACGTATATTCCTCGTTTGTAACGACAAAATCGCATTTAGTAAAAATAGGACATTTTTCCCTTGCTTACCCAGGATAACCTGGTCACAATATTCAGCGCGGTGATTTGGACCACTCAGCCGACCGTCAGTTCCTACGAGTATCAGACAGTTCTTCACTTATATAAATCTACAAGCCCATACTTGTGCTACCCGCATACCTGTATATCTTCTTAGGCCTCCTCCTGCCTCACACAGGGAACATCATACGGCTCTGGGATCTCATCTCCTGCAAAGGGGGAGTCCTGCGGGAAACCAAGCCTGCTCGTGCTTCAGTGTGGTTTGGCTGTTGGTGTGCGAGGGGGGGTCGTGTAGCGTGAGGAGCCGTTCGGCAGCTTCAGCAGACAGAAGAGCGGCGGCGTCGTCGAGACTTGCCCATCCGTTAGTGAGCCTCCCCTCGGCGTGCTTACCTGAACTGGGTCGTGCATCCGCTGTCCAAAATCTTTGGAGGAGACTAACTTCCTATTTAAAGATCACACAAGATGAAACTAAGTTCGGGAGCAGGCTGATGGAAGGCTACAGATCAGCAAAAACGGAATGCCCTGCACACTTAGATGACTATACTATTGTTGGAATCAGGCCGGCGTTGTATGCACCTCCAATGTGCATTGTTCTGTGATTACTTTAACAATTGCTTACAAATTAAGGAGTCACTATAATGACAGAAGATTTTGAAAATTTAAGCACCACAAGGAACCGGATAGATTTCGATTCAGATATCCTCAAGAGAATAATAAAATGTTGGATGTAATTGTAAAACTAGGATTAATCTATATAATCATCCAACTGGGGACGCGCAGCTATCGCGTCCATAGACCCCGAAGAGGACACAATGTCGACAAAGACGGTCGACTAACGTTCCGGTTCCTTTGGATGGTATCGTTGTATGAGACCGTTTTATGAGGGCTCATTTACGGGGTTTGAGTAACTTTTATATAATCATGGTCGAGCTCCCCGTCAGCGCAGACATTCGACCACACGTCCCCATTCTGCCAATTACGCAGTGATAGCGACAGAGAGAACGCTACGGAGCTCGATCTAGAACCCAAGCACCCGCCACATTCCAGCATGTAGTCAGTATGCTTGTCCGTAACTCTGATACGAAAATCATGGCAGTATTTATGACAAGAACGAGTAGCGCGAGCGGTCCGCCACTGAGCAAGACGGAACACGGGACCTTAGCAGACGGACACAGCGTCTCTGTGTAAGATAACAAAACAACTTAAATTGGTACAAAGCGTAACATGGACTTTTAATCTTATGTTAAACAGAAGCAATCATTATATCAGTATCTGGAGGTTATAAACAATCAACCAGGGTATGTAAAAGAGCCGATCGTTAAAAACGGTGTCCTAGACTCTTGCCTAGTTAGTCCATTGTCGATAGTTTTAGGAATCCTAGCTCCACAGGAAAAGGCCCGTCTTGGCACCGAGCCGACAATTTTGTTACCCGACACATTTTCGACACAGAATTTAAAATAAAATGTTTCAGACTTTAAGCATAGATATCTAGATAAAACCCCAATTACCTATCTCCGAGGTATCCATTAACGTCCCTGTCCCCATTAATAAGAATTGGTGGAAGTATTCTCCTGTTCTTTGGCCTGAAGTGAATAATGAGTTGATGGTGAGAAAGGACACCGCGTTACCTTGTTAAATCCCATCTAACAAACCCCTCATTAATCACGAATGGAATTGAAAAGACATGGAGCGTCTCCAGCTTCCGTTATCCAATTGTTACGTATATCCTCTGGAGAAATAAATCCATAAAGTCGCACAAAAAACTAGGCATCCAGAACGGCAAAATAATAAAATCCCACGTTCATTCTTAACGTCCAGGTATATTGATTAATCGCCGTTTTTCTGTTCGTAAATAAGACCGGTAGAGCGCTGTCAGAAACTAGTTTCGGTACGTACACTGTTTGTTTAATCTCTTGTTACAATTTCACCGAATAATTAATATTGAGATACAACCTACAAACCATACTCGTGTAGCATTGAATAAGAAAATATTTGTGAAAGCTTCCTGAACCAAGGTAAGGGCGGTAAGCCATATAACACTATCGACAAACTTCGAGACCCACCACAAGCGTGGCGGTCCGCGAGAGTATTGATAAACTAAATACTTAGCTAGAGTGCATTTAATAAAAATGATACGATAACTAACATCAACTTCACAAGGTCAATCATTATACAAAATATTATTCTAGGAACGTTTTTTGAAGTCAGGTCCATTAATTATACTGATACATCCTAGTCATCACTAGGATAGTTATTTTCTTTTTCCCTCACCCACATAATTTCAAGAGAGAGAGTTTCTGCGACATCGATTATGTCTTCGAGCTCCAGCCTAGTCCTCCATCTAATGTACGGCCCGACCCACTGCTGGCTGTCATCGCCCCACTCCTAATTATTTATATCATATTAATCGATTCTCCCCGTTAGCTTATAGTTATAGTAATATAATCAGCTAAGTCAGTCACTGCAGAATCTCCCCACCGATTCCCTTCCCCCTGAAACTGTGTTCCTTAACCCATAAGCAGTGGTCGGACATCGGATGCTGTGTCACCCACGCTGACTTGCTGCCCCGTAAAAGTTCGGCTCTCTGGTCTCGATCCTCCATTTGAGATTAAGCCCTACACACCATCTCCAGCCACTTAGATCTGTGGTATGATTCCTGCGCTTTCTTCAGATCTGTTGTTTCCTTCAGGGTTCGGGGGTTAATCAAGCTGGTTTTTCAGGAGAACCAGATCCAAATACTGGCTTCCCACTAGTAAAAGTGTTTGTTTTTGTTTTGTTGTTTATAAAGACAAATAATGTAAAACATACACGACAACAGTTTCTGAATGATTTAAACAGGAAATTCTCGACTTTTCAAGGAAGCAGAACGATTAAAACTGCTTAAAAGACTTCATGAGATTCCATAAAAGTTGTGTGTGTGTTTGTGTGTGTTTGTGTGTGGTTGTGGTATTTTATTGTGGTAATATTCGTCTGTTAATCTTCACTTTATTGTTTCTCTGTGTGTGATTAGTGTGGGCCGTCCCAACATGGTGCGCAGTGATGGCGGAAGCCTGGAGGGAAGAATCTCTTCAAATCGGACAAGCAGAGGTAACAACACACACACACACAACACAACACACACAGACACACAACACACACACACACCCACACAAACACCAGACACACACAACC